TTCTCTCTGCGTAATCGAGGAAGGTATTGAGTGGCATTAAAAGAGAATTAGAGGTACAGCGCTGAAACCTGAGGGCTGCTGTAAGGCCAGAATCTGATGATTGATGCTGTCACCTTGCCAAGTTGATGATTCGGTATCTTTCGAAGAATGGTACACATAGTCTCTGTGAGGGTGAGGCACCTGAATTAGAGGAAGGCTTCACGCTGCCGTTGTATCCCATTGTAGTTGCTCGAGTGTAGATTTTGCGATTGTTCAATATCTGTCACCGAACCTAGCCGCGGCAACGCAATCAAACAATCATGTCTGCTTCCGAGCCTTGTAGTCGGGTCAAGACGTCTAAGAATTTGCAACGCTACTATCGATAGAGGGGTAGCTCAGTGGTACAAGTCCATGGCGTTCCAGACCCACAGCCCAGGCAAATCCTTCACTACCCCTGAACAACCCGAATCAACTCAAAATGCTCCAGTTCTCACATCTTATCGCCCAATGCTTCTTATTCGCGTGGTGATGCCGGGACTATAGTGTTACCGTCTGCTCAATCCTCCATCAACAACACCTCCAATTCGCATCGGTGGTTTAGTGGTAAAATTAGCCGTTGCCATGCCTCACAGCACAGTTTCGGCTAGCCCCGGGTTCGATTCCCGGCCGATGCATTCCTTTTGCCATCCTGCGCGTCGTTGTGGTGGTGGTCCTAGGGAGGAGCATGTCTTTTTGCAGACCTGCGCGGGGTCACGTGCCAGTGGGGTGCCGCCAACGCCGGATGCTCTAAGCGCCTGGCTAACAGCGGGGTAGAATGCAGGAACTCGTCACTTGGAGTCCGCATTTTTGCCCTCTAGTCTGGCTGGAAGCTCGCACGGCAAGGACGCACAGTTCTGAGCGTAGTTATATAGGGCAGATTTCGCGACAGTCTTCTATACTTCCTAAAGAGGAGCCTTGGCGCAATGGTAGCGCGTTGGTTTTCGGCTGAAAACATCAAACACCAAAGGTATGGTTCACCGCGCCCCGAGACACCCACCAGACTCTAACAGATAACAGGTTGTGGGTTCGATCCCCATGGGCTTCGCTTAATTTTTGCTTTTTCCTTCAATCGAGACGCTCCTCAAACACGCTGATGCTCTGTCTGGAGTTGCATGTTTTGTTGTGGCCGTTCTTTTTGCAATCTCCACCATCGACTCTACCTTGTCGCTTCGGGTACTGAACACGAGTCACGGCAAGCAGTTGGACATTCCACACACGCTCGTTATAATGCCAAGCAGGCTGTTGATATCTGCATCCTCCCGGTGGCAGAACGCGGGACGATATACGTGCAGCCATCGATCGTCACGTTTCAGATACATTTTCCCAACCCAGCGACCTGGTCGCGTTGCTGTCAAGGCAATTAAGACAAGCAACTTGACGCACATAAACAAACCTGCCGGGTCTGCAGCGGAAGATCCTTGCGTCATCTTGGGTAAATCAGGGTTCGGGAAATTATGATACCCGTTCTTGTCGATCCGATAACCTTGAATCTGAAACGCGGTGACCAAAGAGTGGATGCGACTCAACGGTGCATGTGGGTTGGCTCCTCAACGACACGGAGGCTGACGTGTCTTCGCAATGATGTCAGATGGGCGATCAGTGAAGAAAGTGAGATTCGACGCTGACGGGGTTGGGATCAGCGCGGAGTTTTGAGTCCTGCGCTTTCCAAGGGCTGTGGAGTATACAGCATTTGCTAGAGTAGACAGATGGTGAGCAGAAGTCCTTTCCCGCCATCGTGCCAAGTTCCCTAGCAATCAGTCATCTTTCCAATGGACAAGCATGGATCTTCCAGCCACAGATAGGCCAAGATGTAATGCATCCCTGGACCCCGACAGAACGACTATGCGAGAGGCGCCCCAGACCTAACAAAGCTGTTTGAAGCGGTCAGAATACAGCAACATCAGCGCTGCCTCCCGTCCTTGGCGGTTGACCAGCAAATCCACACAGCCGCGAACGCTACTACATCAGAGCTTTCGTGCTGAGCACTCTTCGCGTGGGTTGCTTGCAAGGATGGAACATGCCTGTGTGCTGTGGTGTGTGTTCATCGTCCCAAGAGGTCGTGTGCACCGAGCTGCACAGCTACTACACCGACAACAGGACAGCAGATCCAGTTCCATGGCGCACTGTGCATGGGCATTGGAGATCCCGCAGACAGCGGCTGGACGGCAATCGACGATCGGAAGAAACATCCAAGCGAGACGTTCAAACATCAAGCGCGTTCCAATTGGCTGTTCTGCTAACAAATGCGCAGACTACATTGCTAGTAAAGGGCTTTACCCTGTGTGACGTTAATCAGAGCAGCCACAAAAGCTTCCTCGTGCGTGCTTGGCCGGTCTAGACAGCGATTGGATGCATGTGGGGTTCCAGACGGGTAGATGAGCCAAAATGCTTGATTGGTTGTTGGTAAGAATTTCTCCCCGAATACTCGTTGGGAGTGCTCTAGGTCGATGGACGCGTGGAGACTAAACACAACGGCTACAATCGCTGGGGTGTATTGAGGTATGAAAGTGTGTTGCGCAGCTGCCGCGGACGCGGAGAAGCGTCGACATTGACATCGTGGCGATTGAGATCTGGACTTGGATACTGGCGGATGGACTGGGTATGATAATACCCCAGAGATGCAGTGGATCAGTCGAGAGCATGGGCAACCAACCAAGCCTTGGTGCCGTCGGGTCGAGAAGTCAGACATGGTGATGTGTTGACACGCACAACGATCGGTTGCAATTGCCTTCCCTGCAGTGTCCAGGATACAGCAGGCAGCTTTTGATCGGCGAGCTGGATTTGCGTCTCAGCATAGGAATAGTAATAGAGCCTTGATCGAGAGGGATGGTTCCTTGCGACGACAATGAAGTACCGCCAATTTGGGACCCTGGTTAGCTCCGCGAGAGTCAATTCTATATGCGTTGTGCTAAAGGCTAGCGCAAATGCTCCGTCTGGACGAGTCTCGGGATTCTCTTACTGCCGAAGAAGGCGAGGAAAAAAGATGCACAAGAGGACGTGAAGACGTGTGGGTGAGGGCTGGTAGTGAGCGTAGATGATTCCCGAAGAAGCAGGAGGTTTTCCTCGATCTCTCCACACGAGTCGTTGATTGGTGGTGCTGCTCAAAATAGAAGCCGCACTGATCGCGTCTTTCTGCTGATCGCGTCACCCTGGCGAGAAAAGCGGGGCACAAAAAGACATGGTGGAACGGAGAAAACCCACCCTCGAACGCCATGAGCTGCGACGCCGCGCACCACTGCCATTTCTGCACAACAGCAGAGACGGGACTGCTAGGCGTGTCTCGAGTGCGGTTGCGCAATTAGAGGAAATGATGTTGTGCCTCGACAATGCACATCAAACAGCTCTCATCTCGCTGAGCCGAGCATCCTCGTCCCGTTCCCCACGGCTTGGGGAACATCGCAATCCGCAAATTTCATCACGGGGATGCGATCCTGCACGAGTCTCGCGGAAGGCCCGACGTGGTGCCGGGACCCTCTGCAATGGTGCCATGCATGCAGTGCCGGGAGCAGGAGAGGTGGGGAGTGGTGGTAGAGCCGTGGCATCAGGTAGGCACAGTAGGAGCAGGCACGGCGTAGCAGAGGGACGGGAGACTGGCGTGCAGAGGAGCGGGGTACAGACGTGTCGGTGAAGCATCAACATGGCGAGGGCGGGCTTTGGAGCGTCGTTATCGCAGCCCGCCAGCGACCTAACGAGCCCACCGCTACTCACCAACTGCTGCAAACGGCTGAGCCGCAGGTGCGGTGGGTCGCGCGACGCCGGGCGCGCGCTGCGGATTGGCCGTCGGGGACCCTCGCAGAGGCGAATTCGTAAGTGTTTACCAGATCGCGTCGTATCTGCTCGGCCTAAGCGCAACGCGTCGACGCACCAGCCGCGACAGGAGCTGGAGGGTTTGCAGGCAGCCGTGACGTTGGCCGGGCCTGGTGCAGTGTGCCGTTGCCATGCAGCGAGAAGCTTCCGAACGGCAGGGTGGGAATGTGGCAGGATCAACATGTGGTTAGAGGTGCAAATGGGCCGCCGCGATATTGTTGCTTATATCGGCTGCGCCCGAGCACTATATGACGGGGGCGCGACCAGGGTCAAAGTGAAGCTGGCGAGGTGAGGTGAGGTGACGGACGCTGTCTTCACAACGTCGGGGCGGATGAAGCTCAGCGGCCATCGGCTATGAAGATTTGCGTGAATACGACGAGCGGCAGCTGCCCTGGGCCACGAGCCGCGAGGCCCTGAGGCTATCCAGCAGAGGCTCACGGCATCCAGCGTCGCCCACACGCCTGCGACGGGTTGGCCGCACAGGCAGCCTGGCATAACGACGCTGCTGCACCTGGCGAGGCAGGGCAACGTGCTCGTTGTCTGGCGTGAGGAAGTTATTGAATCTCCTAGACCCAGCCGCGCCCGTCCGTGCGTGCTCCAGAGACTAGTGCGGCCCCTTTGCCTGACAACCTCAACTCTTCACCGCGACGGCCAACCTTACCCTCCCTCTATTATTTCCTTTTCTGCTTGCTTGTTGAATCGCACGTCGTTGTCAGCAGCAGAAGACCGACTCTCCACGACCGACCAATGCAGGCTTGAAAAACTGCTCGGGAGGCTTGGTACACGCTGCCATCTCCGTCGATTCACGACAGCCTTCCCAGCGCTTGACGACGTTACATTCTATTCTCTGTTTTAATACTTTGTCCGTTTTGTTTCATAGCAGGTACACCTCCCCCAGCTGCCCGTCGCCGCCCCAGGAGCCCCGACACAGGCCTGCCTGCCCCCCAATGCCCCGTCCCTAAAGGCCACGCTCTGGTCGCCTGCCTCCCGTCCGCGACCGCGGCCACCATGCCCATCGCTCCACCACCCGCAGCCTTCGCACTCTCAGAGCCCCCTGCTAATGCGCCCGCCCTCCACAGATCTTCCTTTGCCCGTCTCGGTCGCCGCTTCCTGCCGCCGACGAGTCCTCGCCCACCCCCGTCGAGCTCCTGATAGCGCTACCTCGCAGGCCTCCGATGGCTCAGGTACTCACATCAGTCATCCAGACGACAGGACCCATTACAATGCCCTACTCGCCGTCCGATGCCTACAAAAACCCGCCCAACCACCCCAACCAACAACAACAGCGGGCCTCGCAGATGCCGCGCAACCAGCAAAATGGAAACTCGGGAGGCACTGGATACAGGGGGACCGCCGCACCCATAGCCCCGTATGCCTTCAACAGCACGCCCCAGCTGCGCCAGGACAACAGGTCTGCCTCGACTCCAGCCCCCCAAACCCTGCAGCAGCCTCCCAGCCACGCCAACCAGACACGACTCGGCCACCCCTCTCACCCCTCCTCATCCTCCGATTCCACAGTCTCCACCTCTGGCTCGTCCAACCGCTCGTCGGCTGGGCCACCCACAGCTGCCAGAGATGACCGCGACACCAAGAAACCTTACGACTCCGCTGCGCCCTCCATCACGCTATCCACCTCCATACCCGATCTCTCGCTTTCAATAGGCGATACGCCTGCCAAGCCCTCACCAGGACGATACAGGCGAGGCGCTGGACGGACAGACTCGTCCAACAGCATTCCGACCGGTGCCTCTACCCCGACGCAACGCTCTACATCAGGAGGAAACTCCCAGATGGGACCCACGCAGAATGACGGCCCACAGCCATTCAGGCCAGGGCACAACCGAGCGAACAGTGCAGATGATACGCAAGTTATTCGCTCAGGCGGTATAGACCCCGCTAAGCGATATAGAAGACGCAGTTTCAACGGACTGGAAGGAGACAACAACGTTACCTCCGCCATGGCATCATTGCAGGTTAGCTCAGGAGCTGGTTCAAGCACGACACCGAGCGCCTCCACCACCACGCCCTCGAATTCGAATCGTGCAGGAAGCCGCCCCGACTCGAGTCACAGTCATGAACGGCAAGGCAGTGCAGGCAGTGCTTCCTCTAACAACTCTTCAAGGTCTCAAGTGAGTAGAGTGACTTCACCAGACTTTCGCAAGCTGACAAGGAATCCAGTCTCGCCCTGTGGTGAACACGCAGCGCAGCTATGCCTCCGTAGCAGCAGGCGGTCCTTCCAAAGCACCTGAGCCTAACAGGCGGCAAGCTCCATCTCCTCTGTCGCACCCGGTCTCCCCATCAGAGCCTGCAAGCCCTGCGAAGGCACCTGTACTACCTAGCACAGCGATGCAACACCTCAACGCTGTGAACGACAAGGACAAGGGAATGAAGTCCCGGCTACGCAGGGCCTTTTCTTTTGGAAGCGCAGCTGAGCTTCGAAAGGCTTCTGCTGAGAATAACATCTCGGCAGAGCGTGCAAGATTGAGGAAAGACAAGTACCAGAACGACGAGGATGCCGAACAAGCGGCGATTATCGCAAAGCAAGAGGCGGCAGGTATTGGCGCTGGCATCTACTCAGGACAGGGTGGCATAGGCTCTACTGACAACCTCTCAATACAGTCAGCCGCGTCGTCTGCATCGGTCATGCTCCGCAAGATGGGTCATGGGATGAAGAAGGGCACAAAATCCATCAAGGGCCTCTTCAGGCCAAAGTCGGTCATTGGAGTCCCTGCCGCCGATGGCCCTATCACTAGACCCAGCGTGGGTCAGGTGTCTCTTGTCACCGTCGAGGCTGAGAGACAAAAGGTCAATGTCAACGCAAACCCTCACGAGCAGATCGGAGGCGGCACTGGCTATCCTAGATTGGAGCGCAATTCGATTGACGCCGGACGGTCCGCAGAGATTGTAAACCCCTCTGCGTTGGGCAACGAGGCTATGTCAAGGAAGAGCATCGTTGGGTCCGATCGCGATCGTGCCGAGGTTCTTTCCTCGATGAAGAAGGGCATCCTAAAACGTACGTGTGCTACGCATTCCTCATATGCAGTTACTGACGAAAAATCAGGCACCGGTACAAACTCAGATTCAGGTTCGCCTGTTCTGAAGCCCGTCGATGCCGTCCCAAATGTGGGCTCATCAAGATCTAGCTCCCCTGCTACGCCAAAAACAGAGGTTGGGCAAGCTCGCAACGATGACTACTTCGGCAAACCACCGCGTATTCCCAACGGCAGCACGAGGAGTCTTCCTACCACACCTCACGGAGGTCTTCGAAACATCAGTTTTAGCCCACGTATCCAATTCCACGATGCATGGTCACCACAGGACTACGATCGTAGAGGCGACATCGCAACGTGTAATAGGCTTACACCGATGCTTGCGCAACAGATCAAGGAGGAACTGAACTCCTTTAAGATGGTATGTACTGCAGCTAGAGTATCGTTACCGGAGCGAAGCTAACCACTCGAACAGGAGATGGAAGTTCACGAGCTCTCGAAACCACACACCCATTTCTTCTAATGATTATGCATCCATCATTTGGACATGGCGTCTTGGCGAATACCTCTCATCGTTGCACTTGCGGATTGGAGCCATCAGCATTTACCAGTTGTCAGCTCTGTTCCATGTTCTGGTTACTACGGACTGTTCTTCCATCTTAGCGAGCATTTGCAATCACGTAGAGGAAGAACGCGTGCTCGCGTGTGGGCTCAGCGGGCGAAGTAATTGTTGGCATCGGACTGCAAAAAAGACGGAGGGAGATCTTTCTAGTTGAAGCCAACCTTTTCCTTGCCCTCATCGTCTCTATTAGTGGTTCAGTCGTATGTTGACGTCCATTTCCTTTACTGTCAGACGTGTCTTTGTCTCTCATTACTTTCCTTGAGTCAGTATCAGTCATGGTTGAGGGGTATCTGCGTTGTCTACATCGGAGAGATACAATATGCGAAAAGGCGAGTCGGACGCACTTGGCTGGCGCAAGAGTCCTTGGTAGTGACTTGTGCTGATTAGCTTGTAATTGGAAAACAATCTTCGGCGCATCTTTGCTCCATGGTGTACGTTGACATCGAATGGGATTTCCCCTATGCACTTCGTCCGCGTGCTGGCGCAGGGCTTCGCGTCCGTGTGGAACATGTATTGATCTACACTGCACTCTACTAATGCGTGATCACGGTCAACCAACCGCGTGCTAAATTTGGTGCACACATCTCTCCGAACCTCGTATGCTCATGCCCTGCAGCGTTGCATTGACGGTCAGACCCCCGCGCATCCATGTCTATTCTGGTAGTTTTCGACAACAATTTCCGAAGCCCCCCAGAAGTTCGCACACAGACATTGTCCTCTTCTATCCGCCACCGACACCTTGATAGTCGTCAAGACCACTTCATGATCTTGTCGCCGTTCAGCAAACCACACCTTCCTGTTCAAGCACATCATTATAATCACGCCGCATTGGTTGCATACATTGGCGGTTCAGGCGCTAGTCTTCCAATTCATTGAAAGCATCGTTTGGGAAGCATGTCCGCCGACTAAGGGAACGCGTGATCCCTCCTCATAATGTGCGACATGTGATTCCTGGCAACGGTCTATAAGCGCTAAAAAGATCGGAATCGTAGCGTGCGGCGCCTGGGTGGCGCTGTTAATGGTAGGTATCTCTGGAGAACAACGCCCAGGTGCTGCACGTGTCTGTGGTCTGGAGTTCCGTGGTGGACGTGAAACCCAAATTCATACGAATTGACGCACATACTTGAGTAGCAAATAAGAATTGCGTCACACATGCCTTAGACATTATCTCGAGTAGGTCGGACGGTGGAGTGATTGATCACGTGGGGACGTAGCTCGCTTGGTTAGCGCGCCAAGAAAGCGCACCTTCTCCGCCCCCGAGCAAGTCGAAATTGACCTGAGTTCGACCGTCTCTCCTCAGCAACCACACAACAACCGACAAAATGGTACGTCTAATGCGCGGTCGAGATTCCGAAAACGAAGATTGTTGGCGCTGACCGTTAGACAGGCACCTGCAGCAACTGGAGGCAAGAAGCAGAAGAAGAAGTGGTCCAAGGGCAAGGGTACGTGATCCAGCACTGCACACCTTCAGCATAATTATACACCTCGCGAACACGTCGGAAACGCTCGAAAGCCTTATTGATACTCCCGCAACCCTGTTTCACCATCGCGCACTTCAACATGACTCCAGAGTCGATTTGCCACTAACACATAAGCAGTCAAGGACAAGGCCCAGCACGCTGTCGTTCTCGACAAGCAGACCAACGACAAGCTCCAGAAGGATGTCCAGTCCTACCGCCTCATCACCGTTGCCACTCTCGTCGATCGCTTGAAGATCAACGGTTCGCTCGCGCGTCAAGCTCTTAACGACCTTGAGGCCAACGGTCAGATCAAGAAGGTTGTCGGACACTCCAAGCTCAGCATCTACAGTATGTCACCACAAATGCATTTCGAAAGATCCACGTGTTACGAAACCTTGGAATATTTGGAGATTGTATGAGCGTTCACTAACACACTGCAGCACGAGCTGTCGGCGCCGCCGAGTAAGCCTTACGCAACCGACAATTAAACGAACGTAAATGCGAATCTCGGATACCTCTTTCGGCTTTTTAACGGCATTCCTCTTTCCATTACCAATCGGCGTCTTCATGAAATGAACGGGTCATACTACATTGGGATGCATGCTTCATAGCGGACATGAAATGAGAGGAACGGGCTCGGGTACAGCACCTAGGGTCCATTGGAGGTGTCGGTTATGTACTGAATGAAAAGACTTCCGAAACACCACCACCCAACTTGACCTTGCTATTAGTGAAAGCGCTCGTGTGCTAATGTTGAGTCCACACTACAGAGTGTTCATTCGTACCACTGTCCTTGTCTTGGTTTTGTCAATACTTGCAGCCCTCGTGTCCCCTCCCCTTGTTCTGGCTTTTGCAAGCATACTAGCGCTGATGTCTGGCGTCATGTCAATCGCGAATTCCACCGCTTTTACTCTCCAGCTTGAAATTGCCATAGCACTCTGCTCTTTTCCCTAGAGACGTACCGACGACAGGTCTCTGTCTTGCTTACACCTCGTGCTTGCTATGACTGCTCACAAGGATATGTCCGGTCAGAGCGCGAGCACGTATTGATCAACTTGCGGACATGTACCATCGGTCTGTGAAGATGGATTTAATCCATGCCGCGGTTCCTTGATTTAGGCCCGTATACTGTCTGAGGCGGCACGTTCTCCTACTACACACTTCCTATTTCGTCCCGATCTTAGATAATAGTAAGAGTACACGGAGGCGGAGGAATGGGCTCTTGATCTGGACTGGTTGGAAAACTAGAACTCTATCTCATCAAGTGTCAGGCATGCCAAGTTCGTTCCTTATACGCTTGTGGAAGTCAGAACCTCTGGTAGGTATAGTATAGCTATCCCTTCCTGCTTGCTCTGCGTTTTGGATCACATCATTTCGCTTGTAGTATGGAAGGCTCGATCTCTCAAGTTGCAAGAAGTCACGCGACGGTGTGACTCAAGGATATACTGGTATTTTGTTAGGATAGATTGGCCACATGGGCCCATCAGATGCCTCACAAATTGCGTCGGTTGAGAAGGACATACTTTATTGCAGCATAGCTATATTTACTTGCCGCGCAAGTGAAGGACAAGATTCGAGTGTGAGAATAGTTATTAGACAAGATTTACAGTAGGAAGGCTGGGGACGCGGGCATCAAGTTTGTGCGTATATACAATGGATATACGCCTGGAAGGCCAGGACAGTATGCCGAGGGAAGCTCGACCTATTGTTCATATTTCCGAACCGGCCTGCCCTTTTCGGCCTGCTCGCACAAGCCCCTCTTAGGCATTCTGTCCTGCCATCCAGGTTCCCTCTTGACATAGCCTACCCGCCTATACGGCTTACCCTTGTCTCCACGGAACAACATATGCCAGCCCTCCAGACCGGCAACCATCTGTTTTCTAGCGCTCTTGAGTTCCTGTGCACGCCTGTTCTTCAGTTCTCCCTTGCTCAATGGTTTCCTCTTCCGCGCCTTTTCCATTTCCACTTCTCTTTCTTCCTGTGTCAGACCGGCTTTCTCTTCGGGCTCAACGGGTATGAACATTTCCTCTACGCCGCGTAGATCGGGCACAGTGTCTTCGGCGAAACAACCCGTAAGGAAGGCGCGCGCTGCGTCTTTGCCCGCGAAAAAGTGGTATGAGCCGCCGGGTCCGTAGGTCGTAGGCGAAATGGAAACGTCGTAGATTGTACCGTTTAGAGCGAGGTAGATCGGTTTCGAGGGGTCGCTGCCGTCATATAGAGCCAATTCAGCATCGGTTAGGGTGAGTTCTCCTTGCTACGTGTCATGTTAGCTACGAGAGCTTGTTGGAATGTGAAAGAGAAACTTACCATGAGGCTCTTCCACTCTCGAGCTCTGGTCCACCATGCATTATATCCCCATGTCATACTTTCTCCACTTGTACTCAGATAGCTCAGCCCGCAACTCAATAGGAGGACGCCACTTAGTATGCGCAGTATGTCCAGCACGGAGAAGCCATTTGACGTCGCAGCGGCTTGCTCCTTGACGGCTTTCTTAAGCTCTGCTTTCTCTTGAGCGCCCGAGGAGGTCGGAGGAATAGAAGACGTGGTCGTGTCTGTGGGCTCCTCTTTCGCAGCACGGCGGTATCGCTGTGATGAGGACATTATGGCGGTGGTAGTGACGGTAATGCGTTCAGATGCACTGCTTTATTTGCGTGGTCAGTCTACATATAGCGAGAGTTGCTCGGAGACGTTCATACCTGTTCATCCAACAGTTACGCAGCTCAAAGTGTGGTACTCCCGCGTCAACGTCACTCAGATACCGAGGCACAACCCTAACTAGCCACCGAAGAAAGTATTCGGAGACGTGTCCGCAAGCCAGGAACCGTCGGATGCGCGATGCGGAGAATAGATTGCTTTCGCCTGCGCGTTCCGAGGCGCTGCTGTCGGGAAGTACCACAATCTCGGTTCCGATGATTGGCCACTTTCAGATTGATGTCATTGGCGATCTTGGCCAAGACGCTACTACTGGACTATCACTTTTGGACAACTTGCAATGGATGAGATCGGCATGAAAGACTTGGAATCGCATAACTCGTAGAGTCAATATGCAAATTTCTGTAATCTGGCTACTGTACGATATCGCAGGTGTCATGCGAATGTTTCACTTTTGTAGTAATACAACCCTCCCTTCGTGTGTGTATATACAACGTCCATCTTCCATCTTCTCTCCACTAGTTGTGTGATTTGCATGATGTAGGGATCGTGGCGTTTCCCGCTTCTTAGAGTACGAAATCGTTCAGTGGTCTTTCCTCATTTAATGAGCATCACCTCAATCACTCATTCAGCGCCGTCGTGAATATCGCGGATCTCGACTTGCGCTTCTCTGTCGCTCTTGGGGAAGACCTTTTTGAGTCCTGCTTGGAAGACGCCGACGTTGTAGTCGATGATGGCTTTCTTTTCCGCTGGATTATCCTGGCCCATGATACATACTAGAGCGAGATA